CATGTTGTCTATGCACCAGTTACATAATAGCTCGGTTCAGTTTTTGCATTTAATTTGTCCTTGTGTTTATATAACTACAATAGTAACGTAAAAATAAACTAATAAATATACATATATGTGTTTTACTGTATATATACAAAGATATATATATATATATATATATATATGGATATATAAATATATATGAATATATATGAATATATATAAATAATATAAATATATATATATATATATATATATATATATATATATATATATATATATATATATATATATATATATATATATATATATATACATACATATATATATATATATATATATATATATATATATATATATATATATATATATATATATATATCTTTATGTATATATATATATATACGGTTGTGTGAAGTATTTGAATAACCGTTATCAAACCCACATTGACAACTACGACATTGGCAACTAATTGATTATATTTCAATTAATCTTGACATCGATTGTGATTCAGCTCCCCCAAGTTGGACATTCTGAATACTAATCATTACGTATCGCTGGTTGCGCGACAGACGGGGCACCACTTGATTACCTTAGATTCAAAACCATTGACTGGGTACGTCCTTGTATCGTCTTTGTATCGTAAAGATAGAGAGTGTAAGTATTGATAGTGCAAAGTGTAGTAATATCATAGTATAAGCATTTGTTTGCTTTATATATATATATATATATATATATATATATATATATATATATATATATATATATATATATATATATATATATATATATATATAGAATGAACTATTTATTTCCTAAACACCGTTGGTTAAGGTGTCACTTTAGGACTTTAGAGTGTTTACATATTCCTGTACGTGAAATGTATTATTATAAAAAAAAACATATATTCACATATATTTAGATTGAGTGTAATTAATTTGTAACGTGCGTTAATATATTTTCTGTTTAAGTATAACTTACGAGGCGATGGATTGGGTTAAAATGGGTTGGGGATTTGACATCTTTTTAACACCGCATGCAGAGGAAAAGTCGTTTTTTTTAAACAGCATTGAATGGCATTACGCTGAGTGCGTTGACCTGTGGATGGTCGGGTCAAGGGAGGTTGAGGAAAGGCAACATCACATGATCGGGCCCGTAGGGTCGGAGTTCGGTTGCTACGTGTACGGAAAAACGATGGCTTCCGTCTACGCAAGCTACGTGACCCCAGAAAGCAGCAGGGTAGGTAGTTCTTTGTGAAAACACGAATTGGCACAAAGGCACACTGCCGTACCCATAAGTACATTCACACAGTCATTTATATATCTCCCCTCCCTTCATTCGTTTTGTTTTTTAAAATGTGATTTGTGATTATGATAAACGCCTTTTTACTAAAAAAAAATAATGTGTTGTTTATTTTGAGTTTTATACACCGTCGCGTTGTATCTACACTAAGCCATTAGTACAGAAATGTTAATGCAAGCTAACGTTACAGGCTTACACACACACACACACGTGTATATATATATATATATATATATATATATATATATATATATATATATATATATATATATATATATATATATATATATATATATATATATATATACATAAGAACAATACAATTTTAAAATATAAGCAAATATACATAGGCCTCTACGTATACTTATATATATACGTATATACATATATATATATATATATATAAATATATATATATATATATATATATATATATATATATATATATATATATGTATATATATATATATATATATATATATATATATATATATATATATATATATATATATATATATATATATATATATATGTATATATATATATATATATATATATATATATATATATATATATAGATAAGATCAATAAAAAAATTCAATCTCATTGTTTCTAATGGAAGCAAATTTTACTATAACAAAATTTGTGTACACGATTTGTATTTTCTTTTACTTCAATCTTTAATTAGACTGACCAAACTAGCGGCACACCGCTCTCTGAAAAGATTATAAGAGATCATAAAAGCAAATGCTTTCTGCAGTTGCTGAATAAAAGCAAGTATTGATCCAATTTATTTCTCTCTTGTATTCGGGTAGCCTGTTGAAAAAGTACCGTAATCGTTGGGAACACACCGATAAATCTTTTTTACAATTCTAAAACTTCTGCAACCTATTTAGTCGGAAAGACATGCATATGTAGGCTATGTGTGTATGCGTGGTCGTGTCGTGCGTGTGTGTAATTGTGTGTGTATGTGCGTAATTGTATGTGGAGACGATCACTCAAGTATTGCTTTCTAAACAGTTTTGATTCATTACTGGAAGCTTAAATTAATATATATCTATATTGTATTTTTTCTCTAAAAATCGATACATTGATTACCGCCTATATTAGGCTGGAAAAATTAAAGTATATATATATAAATATATATATATATATATATATATATATATATATATATATATATATTAGTATCAGTTTCGTATATTTACAGATTATGAAAATCCACCGACTACTGTAACCCAAAAACAACATGGTGAGTAACTACAGCAGACAATATGTAGAAAATGCTGTTTAAAAATTTTAAATATCGGGTTGTTGTTTTTTTTTTCTTTAGAGAATATTTTTTCTCATTTTACGACCCATACTAAGTTATACACGAAGAAAATGTGGGTAATAAAACTCTAGCTATGTAGAGGCTTTGAAAAAAATTGCATTAAAAAATACGTTTTCATAACAAGCTTTTATGAAACTATCTATATAGGTCATAGGACTACTACTAAAACTCAAGTTTGTTTACAAAGTAGTATATTTATTTGTTTTTAAAAAAATTGTTTGTTTTGTTACATGAAAGAATTTACACTATGTGGAGAGCTGTAAAATACGCATTGATGTAGAAAATAATGCTCTTTTATACCAAACTGTAAATCACACATTTATTTTAAGACGTTAATTCATTTACTAACATATTCATTGATAGAAACACCACTTTAATTATAGAAGTCCAGAACAATTGCCTTACTTATAGTAACGTTGCATGATTCATTTACTTTTTACAATAAACATGTCGGTTTCATTGGAAGATCATGTTGTCTATCCATACGTTCAACGCATTATACAGCTACATTTTCTGTCTGTTATAGCTTTAACGATAGGTCTTTTTGCTATTTTTATTAGGTTCCAAAACTATTATCAATTTTCATTAGGATACGCTGGGCACTTCATCTAATTTGACTAGATCTACACAATAAATGTACCTAGCATACCTAGTAAAGTAAAGCGTGGGTCTCTCCCTTAATATTAGTAAAGGTTTCAAATAGAAATATGGTGACCCTCGTTTTTCTTTACATTTATTTAAATAGTAGTGTATATTTTTAAAATTTACAATAGAGTTCCATGACTAAAATTATCGCGCACCAACTGAACATGATAACGCGCGTATAATATCGCGAAAAGAGTAGCACAAGTCTACCTAATAATTCCAGAAAATTTTAATTAATACGTAAAAAATTAATTAGGCATCCAATTAAGTAAAATTGATATTGCATCGTCTTCAAATATTTACTATCGTGCCAACTTTCAACCGAATATGTCAGAAGTGCCCAAAATCTCGCTCGCCCATTTCGATCTTAGACGGCTGATAGATTGTCGACAGGGAAAACTGGCGAAAGACATAGGAATCAAGTTAAATGAAAACTAGTAAAATAAACCGGGAGTGATCTCCCCTAAACTTTCTCGAATATTCTTATATAAAACAACAGGGGATGGGAACTCGGGCTATTGACATGATTTTTAATCCATTTTAAATACTTAAAGTTTTAAAAATAGAATAAAATCTCGTAGACAAAATAATTGCACGCCAGGTGAACTAGTGAACGCCAAATAAAAAAGTGCACAATAGCGCGCAATATTATTAGTACTTTAAAAATTTACATTAGTTTTTTGAGAAATCGGAAGTAGCGTAAATTACTACTTCCGGTCAACGGAAATTACTCAAAATTTAACAGAAGGTAGAGAATTAGATCTTTTACTTACATGTGAAATTTCATTTATCTATCTGAAATAGTACTCAAGTTATAGGCTTTTGAAAAATTCAAAGTAGGAAAAGTACCACTTCCGGTTATCGGAAATCGCTCAAAAGTTGATACGGATCTACGATTTTGATAAAATACTTATATATGAAATTTCATCAACCTAGCTATAACGGTACTCAAGTAATCGTGTTTACACACGGACACACACACAGACACACAGACATACGGACAGAATTGCAAAGCCCAGTTTTTCAGACTGGATTACGCATAAAACCTCTTAATTTTGATAAATCTGGATTGATAATTTTTGCCCGATTAAAATAAGTCCTCTATACTTCGGATGTGATGAAGGACTGAGGTGTAATACGGTGAAAATTGTTAAAATTTCAAGTGATTTTTGTGCACGATTACAATACTTTCTCTATACTTCGTATATACGAGAAAGTAAAAAAGAGAACATTAATGAAATTCTTCGCCGAGATTAGTTTGATGTGTAAAACTAAATTTTACAGTTTTTATAAACATGAAAATTATTTTAGAGTTTTTATAGAAAATATTTCGTTGTTTTATTAAAAAACTACATATGATAAAATATAAAACTTTTTAAAATTTAATTTTACACATCTATTAGTCTACAAAGTTAGAAGTATACACATAACATGCACCCATGAGCCGTTTTTATCAACAATTTTATTCCCAGTATGTCCAAAGGAATTCCTCGGCAAAGACTGTACGTACAAGTGCCGGTGTAAAGACTTAAAATGCAAAGACAGCTACAAATGTTTTCAATCCGGTTGTAAAGATGGTTATTTTGGCCCTTACTGCTTGTATAGTAAGTAATTTATGGGACGGCGCGACCTCAGCTGTGGAGCGCTAGGCTGCTAACCCGAAAGTCTCGAGTTCAAAATCAGTAGAACGTCCATGAGTGAATCCAATGCTGATGGGTACCTTACTTATGGTAGGGAAGTAAAGACGGTTGTGTCAAGTGTTGTCCACACCTTCCCTTTCACACACCGAGGTCAAGTAACACATCAACTCTACTTTATCTGCTCAAAGGTCAAAAGAGGATGGTTTATATTAAGTAATGTAACGATCAAAAGCTATAACGTGGTTGAGTTATCGTAAACTAGCCTCTACAAAATGAAAGAGTGATCTAACAATACTATTGTTACGTAACTTTAAAATAAACATGTTAATGAGTAACATAGGTTCAAAGCAGGCTAAAAATTAATTATGCTTGCATTTTCACCGGAGACGAATGTAAAAAAGTGAAGATTCCTCTTTAGACCTAACGATCCATTATGCTGATGAAGTGGAGTTTATATATTTCTTGACCCTGGCATATAAAGGGATTATGTGGTCAGCAATATGCCCAGTCGCCTTTACTTTCCCTAACGTATTTTCGGGACCCATCAGATTTGGGTGGACTAAGACGTTCTACTGACTTGAACCCGGATTCAAACTCGAGACTATCGGGTTAGTAGTCTAGTGCTCCACCGCTATGGCACGCCGTCCCAAGTAATTAAATCGCTGCAACAGAAGTAAGTCGAAATTAAGTTACAAGTATTGCCACATTTCACAAACAGACAAACAAACAAAACAAAAAATCAGAAATAAAAAAAGCTTATATTAAGTTAGTATTTTGACCACAAAACTGTTGGTTGAGATATTTAAATTCAGGATAAAATAAAAACATTTAAAATTTTACATTTGTTTCGACATTTGCAAAGATCAGTGCCATAGTCGTCTTAACGGTACTATGTTCATACTGATATATATATATATATATATATATATATATATATATATATATATATATATATATATATATATATATATATATAATGTGTGAATCTGTGTGATGTGTGTATACACAGTATTGCGTTAAACCTCCCTCCAGGAGACGCCATACCCATGGCCGAGAAAGTCGAGGGCTTTAACGTCAGCGCCTCAACGTGTATGGAAACGGACAGAGTGGACATTGTGTTTAAGGAGAGCATTTTCTTTAACTTTTTGTGGATATCTTCTGACCGAAACGGTACGTGTAAATCAATGGTTTTCGGTAATTAATATTTTTAGATTATTAATAGATTAAGATAATTACTAGTTTTAGATAATTAATAGTTTTAGACAATTAATAGTTTTAGATAATTAATAGTTTTAGACGATTAATAGTTTTAGATAATTAATAGTTATAGATAATTAATAGTTTTAGATAATTAATATGTTAGATAAATAATAGTTTTAGACAATTAATAGCTTTAGATAATTAATAGTTTAAGTAATTAATAGTTTTTGATAATTAATAGTTTTAGATAATTAATAGATTTAGATAAATAATAGTTTTAGATAATTAATAGCTTTAGACAATTAATAGTTTTAGATAATTAATAGTTTTAGATAATTAATAGTTTTAGATAATTAATAGTTTTGATAATTAATAGTTTTAGATAATTAATATGTTAGATAATTAATAGTTTTAGACAATTAATAGTTTAAGTAATTAATAGTTTTTGATAATTAAAAGTTTTAGATGATTAATAGTTTTAGATAAATAATAGTTTTAGATATTTAATAGTTTGAGATAATTAATATTTTTAGACAATTAATAATTTTAGATAATTAATAGTTTTAGATAATTAATAGTTTTAGATAATTAATAGATTTAGGTAAATAATAGTTTTAGGTAATTAATAGTTTTAGATAATTAATAGTTTTAGATAATTAATAGTTTTAGATAATTAATAGTTTTAGATAATTAATAGTTTTAAACAATTAATAATTTTAGATAATTAATAGTTTTAGGTAATTAATAGTTTTAGATAATTAATAGTTTTAGATAATTAATAGTTTTAGATAATTAATAGTTTTAGATAATTAATAGTTTTAGATAATTAATAGTTTTAGACGATTAATAGTTTTTAAATATATAAAAGTTTTAGATAATTAGCCTCGGGCAGATGAGGCTCGTTAGCTGGGGACAGCCACTCTTCTAGGAGAGACAACTCCAAAATTAAACAACTGCTGCCTTGTAGGTTGTTCTTGGTTGGACAAAGGCTATGGAAGCAAATCCAAAAACAAAAGCAGGCTGAAATCGGAGTCAATGGCCTCAATGGCGCATAACCAGTTGACACGTAACGCTTAATTGTGTTGTAGGCGTGGTCGAGTCGGCAAAAAGCTCATGGTTGATAAATTCGAACAAAGTCTCGAGTTCAAACCCACTGGCAGATAAATCTCGATCCCCTTCAACACTAATAATTAAGAACGAAGAAGAAGAAGAAAGAACTTTAAAATGGCATGTATATAAATATCACGGGAAATTACTAAAGACTAACGACATTAAAAAAATGAACATTGTATTTTATTTTAATTGTTTTTCAGTTTCCGAAATTACAAACTTTGCGATAATATTTATGAAGATTGTGAAACAGTATTATCTACATGTATCTAAATGTCATGTAAAATT